CAACCACAACCACAAGCACAACGACAACCACAACCACAACGACGACGACAACGACGCAGCAGCAATGTGGCTGTCCACCTCTTCTTGGACCCTCTCGATGATAAACGACCTGGCATGGGAATGGACTCTTGGACAACATGGATGTGTCGGAAAACAGCCGGCCAGACCAAGGACTGCCGACGAAGGCACAACGCTGTGCCTGCAGACGGGGCCCCTCTTCACTAGCTCGCGAAAAACGCGCCATGGAACGGCACAGCGGCCTCCAACCTGAAGTCCCAACAACGCTCGCCGTAGGCCTTAAGGAGACTGCCCGTGGGGTCTGCCCGTGAGGCGCGTGGGACCAACTAGTACCAGATGACTGATAGCACTTGCTGGGCGATCTTCTCCTGTTGGTAGGTTCATTGAGCGGTGTGAGGACGGCATGACGCTTCGCGTGGGCCTGCTCTGACAAGATGTCCGAGAGCAGAGTGTTCTTCTTGTCTCTTTGTTGTGCCAAATCCTGCAGTTTCTCCACTGCTCTCTTCGGAAATGCCTCCTGGAGGAGCGCCTGCAGCACGCTTCGAGGGACCTGAACCTCACCTGCGTGAGCGGATGACGAAAATTCTTTTGGAAGTGTCCCAGAGCCTCTGCTTTGCGAAATTCCGCACTATGCCTTCTGCGAATGCCATCATAACGCGCTGGCGGAAGCACGATCGCTATAGGCCCTCCCCCCATTGGGCAGCTTGCAAACACTTCCTGGCCTTCTTCCACCGGGGTGGGATCCGACGATTTGGCTTCCATGACAACTGCTCGCCGTCGCTGTCGCAAGAACCTGCAAAACTCTCATCCAACTATGCTGACTCACCCTTTTCCGAATTCTTGATCACTGCATGCATGATGGAACTGCTGTGAAATATGATGTCGACCCCAAGGGCACTTCGAAGAAGTTGTCCCAACATCTTCGCTTGGTTCATTTGCCTCAACTCAGGCACAAGCAACTATAGCAATATATCACGACTACAACTAGCATGATTGTAACTGACACATATGCACCGCCAAACAAGAAAAAAAAACACGCCAGATGTAGCAAGCAGGTACGTCTATAAGCATCGTGCCTTGTCGCGCACATCTTGAGCGGCAGGCACATCCTGGGTCCAACCACCAGTGGTCCCGACTGATAATGATCAATGATGTGGGGCTTGACACAGGACTGGTCCCAAGTCTGTCAACAGCGAGTACCAGTGGCATGCAATTGAAGCTTCCGCTTCCATGCTGGCTGGGTTTGGCGAAAAATGTCCATTGAAAGCCGGCGAGCTGCTTCAGGCGCATTCACAACGGTTCGTCTGCGATACTAAAGACAACGATGAGTCAAAGTGATCCAAGCACCACCCTCAGCAACCAATTCAATTTCGTCACATGCTGCCATTCTTCCCGGAACCCATCCCCTCCTTCCGAGACCACAGGTAAACTCCGTGGGCCTCGTGATGGCAAACGTCTGTACAGCTATTCTGAGCTGCCGCACAGGCTGAGCATCGTCATGTGGCAACCTGGAGCATGCTGTTTCGGAGAAACGACGTGATGCACTGGGTCTACTGCGAGGTCGCGGCTTCCCTTCCTCCTCCAAACCTTTCAAGATGCCAAGAGGTTCAGAGACAAGTCGGTCGCTCTTCCAGCTCTCAGAAGACCGAGCAGCTGCCATGAAGCACTCAGAACTGCCCACAGTCATCAAGCCTAAACCGACCCATGACTCCGGATCTCTGCCTCAAGAGTCGCCCTCTCGTTTCTCCCTGTTCCCGATCCCGATTTATATCTAGTACCTTGGAACGAGAGAGTCTCGGCGTCTGGCGAACACGCATTCGAGCTTTGGCTTTCGCATGAAGATTCCTTCTGCGGTCTTTCTTGTCGGTGATATCCTGCAACACTGCATTGCAAAGAAGTTGCAACGCACATACAGGAACTTTAGCCTTGACGGAGACTGGAACGGCTCGTTCGTTCCTGGACGAAGTTGAAACTGCCGAGTCGGACAGCGACTGCTGAGCATCTCTGAGCATCTTGCAAATCTTTCCACAGCAGCTCTCGCCTGCAAGAGGAAACAAAACCGCTCTACTCTTTAGGCATCCTTCGAAGCCCTGCAAAACACGGCATGAGGCTTCTCCGACTGTCACTGCTGATGGTGTTGTCATTGCCTGCCTCACCTGCAGCCATTCCACTTCTGCTCCAGAGGACTTGGCTTGGTGCTTCCTGAATTTCTGAATGCTCATCCAATTTGGCAGGCGGAAGGCAGCTGCGCAAGACTGAGACTTTCGCTTCACACGTCCCTCCGTCTGTTCCAGCCTTTCCGAGCCTCTACAGCAAAGACAAGAAGCATTCAGGAAGAGACTCGAACCGCGCCTTCGGATGCAACAAATGGCTCCAGTTTGTGATATTGGTGATGTGCGGGTCTGCCTATTGAAAAACAGTGTCTTTGCAACTGTACGCAAGGCTTCATGCGCCAGGAGTCGGACTCTTAGCAGGATCACCTCCTGCTTTCACTGTGCGCGTCTGGAGCCTTTGCAGGCTCAAGGGCGAGCCTGTTGATCGGACAAAACATGCTTCCGCAAGAACTGAGATCCGCAACTCCATCTTCCGCAGTATGCGCTGTATGTTCTCCTTGTGGAAAGAGTGATACCATCTGACGGATTACAAAAGTTAAATGTTGATCCTCCAGAACGTCACGTTCCGCCGCAGCACTGACAAGTTCATCCATGAAGGCCTCTCGCGGGCACGATGGTTGCAGCGCTACGAGGTGACAAAAGCAGGATGAGCAGGTCGCTCCGTCCAAACATACTCTAAATCCAAGAACCTACCGTGTGAGTGCACGGTTTCCCCGCCTGCTACGCCTCAAGACAAAGAGATGAAAACTCTAGCACAAGTAGAACATCAGCTCATGAAACCTACACGACAAGCACAGTGATCAACAGTGAAAGCGCACCTAGGATTCCGCACCTAGAGCAGCCAGCAAATGCAGCCAGCAAAAGCACAACGATGGATGAAGAGCAGTGTGCATGCCCACTAAACAGAAACCGAACCCTGGACCACAAAGGAAAGGACGTGTGGCACCCAGCTCATGCTGTTGAACACACGTTCGTCGGCTACTCGCGGCTATCTGTCATGGCCGAGCTAGGACATGACATCAACCTGTGACTTGTCGGCTTATGATGACTTTCGTACTTGCCGTTTGGGAGGCGAGCTCTGCGCTGCAGCTGACGTTTTCCGTGGGTGGCTGTGGCCACTGACTTTGATAGCCTGGTGGAGTCGCTGATGACGGTCTGTGCTGCTGAAGAACCTTCTCAAACCAATCGACGGGCGGATGTGCCTTGCGATAGCCCAAATGGGAACACATTTGACACTGAGCAAAAGGGCAGCCATGAGCAACGGCTGGATGCTTTCGATGTGAAGCGGCATGGACCACTTTCCACTACGATACAGAATCATGTTGATGTCACTGCACCGTGGCATGGAGTATGGGCAGTGCTGGGCAACTCATGTGACCGCTGCCTATGATGGCCTTATGCAATCGTGGTCGGTTCGTGATGGTGCAGAGCTTTCCGAAACCAATCGGACGGCGGCTGTGCTTTGCGATAGCCCGCACGGGCACACATTTGGCACTGAGCAGAGGGGAATTGATGAGCAATGTCTGGACGCCCTACATAATGGGAAGCGGCGTGGCATGCCACTTTTCACTACGATGCATTATCATGTCGGTGTTGCCGCACAGTAATAGGAGCATGGGAGCCTGTTCCGCGGCAGCGATTGGCAGCTGAGGGCGGCATGCACATGTTGCCGGATGCAGAGGCCATGTCAGTGGCGGTCCTTTTACACTGGTTGGGCACGTCATTCGGGAAGAACAACAACAAGAAGCAAACTCTACGGCGTCATTCCTTGGTGGGTCTGCGCGGAATCAGCACCAGTTTCAGATGTATACCAAGCATATCAGAGGCTGACTGGAGAGCGGCAACACGAACTCTGTCGGATGATCTCGTGGCCCTGAGCTTCGCCTGTGATCCTGGTGGTGTCGGAGGTCGCGATTGAGGGCGACTGGCAAGCAGCAAAGCCGCATCTTGCAGGAACTTCGTGTGGCGTCTGCTGATCTGATTTGCACTGGCTCGTACCCTGCTTCTGTTCAGTCACAGTTGCAAAGTGTGCACCCGACGCGCTTTCACTGTAGGTTGGTGTTTCGGCTTTGTGGTGGGATGCGTGGCAGGATTGAGACAGCTTTTTGGCCCTTTGGCATCAAGGCCTGCCTGGATAAATCTCCATCTGCCTTTTCCCGCTGGCAGATTTCTGCCCCATGGTCGGCCCGAACTTATTCCATGATGAGTGCATACTTCCGTACTGCCTCTTGCATGCTTTAATTACGGCACGTACCGCTCTAATGCCTTGGAAATGACAAGTATGCAATGCATGTACCTATCATGTATGCATACAGGTATGGAATGAATGGACGGATGGACGGATGATGCATGGATGCATGGATGCATGGATGCATGGATGCATGGATGCATGGGATGCATGGATGGATGGATGGATGGATGGATGGATGGAGGGAGGGATATGGAGGGATGCCCGGCACGCAAGTGTCTTGTTGCCGGTATCTTTGCTTGTCTTTTTGTTGTCAATGTTGCTAGCTGGTTTGTCAAGTGGCATTTAAGTGCAAAAGCCTGCACAGATCTCATCGCCATTGTGAATCCGATTCTGAAGCACCTTACCTCCCCTTGGGACACTGTCTGGCCTTGGCGCTGTGGAGCAGCCGAAACTCAGAGATGCAAAGACAGAGAGTTCTTGACGTGTGCGGAGTCGCGGAGTCGTCTTCCGGTCTGAGGCCAAGACCGCTCCGATCTGAAAGTGTTCGGATTTCTTGGGAGCCTTGAGGTCGTCGCTCGTTGGTGCTACTGTGCACAGCGCCCATTCACTTCCCCGGCACTCTGGCCTGGCTTTTCGAAGGCGCAGCCTTCTCCACAACGCCCTTGAGGCTAAAACCTTCAGCAAAAACACATAGAGCTTCGCTTCAAGCACTTCTCACACGGCCAGCCTCCGGATGGTCTGGTGCCGCTGGCGGTCCCGGTGGTCCCCTTGCCTTTTTGAGGTCGACCCGGAGCAGCCGGAGGAGGTTTCGATGCTTCATCGGCTTCAGCGGCATCCTCCTCCTGGTTTGGGCAATTTCAGCGCTTCACAGAAAGTCGGCATGCGGCATAAGCCAACCCTTCACTAGCCTCCGGTGGGATGTCGGGTGGAGTTTGCAGCTCATCCACTTCCAGCTCTTGAGACTCATGGGTCGGCTGCCTCTGACAAGGTGGGCGCGGAACTCTTGCAACATGCCATCACTTGCCTCTGCATGGCCGATTGCAAATAGTTCTCGTTGCCAACCCTTAGCATTTGATGGCTGAAGCAAGGAATCAATAGTCCTGAACGCTTCAGATGGCTCAGGCGAGCACTCCTGCCCCCCTTTGCGCGTGCGCTCCTACAACACGCAGCAAATACGGCTGTCTGCACCTCATGCAGCTGCCTCGAACATATTGACGATGTTCATGCATAGTTCATGCGCTTGCAGCCGAGTAACGTCCCGCATCGTGGTCATCATCAAATGGTCATACCTGCAAAGCTCGGCATACACACCTAAAGCGTGGCCAATGCCAAGGGCAAAGGAGCACAAGGATCTGTTCAGTTCAACTTTGCGACGATGCTCCTCCAGAGCACCGAGCCATTGCATGATCACGCACAGGAAGCCACTACCACTCCTGCCTGCATCAAAGCAGTGAGATCTCCTTTGACCTTCTTGTGGACCCTGCGCAGACCATGCAAGATTGGCAGACTTGGACAAGAATCACACCAGCTCCTCCGTTGATGATCGCGCTGCTTAACCATGGCCTCAAGACTGGCACTACACCCTCAAACCCTCAATAACAAATGCTAACCGTGTACGGGCTCCCACCTTCTCCATGTCAGACAGGATAGCAGTTGTGGCAAACGGCTGCGAGTCCGCAAGCACTGATTCCGTCTCCTCCACAATGCACGCTTTGGAGTCAGCAAGCGAGGTCACTGCACAGTGTCCTCCTCACGGTCTAAACTGCTTAAGCTCTTCTTGGAAGCAAAAGCCTCACTCGAGCTGCTCTCTTCCAAGACTAAATCGACTCCATGTGCTGCTCTGTGGCATCGAGCAGGCTTGCAGAGTGAGTGTACGTCCTGCAGCTATAGGTCGACATCTAACAACATCTACTTTGAGTCTACTTGAGTCATCTGGCTCCTTGAAATAAGCGCAGGGTCGATCCCAAAGCGTTCCAGCATCAGGCCCATCTCCCTGCCAGAGACTTCACCGAAACCATAACATCTTGCGAGGGCCTGGAGAACAAGCCTGTCGACAGCATCGTTGAAATCGGCGAGTGCCCTGGCCGGGCAGTGGCAGAGGCACGGGCACAGCTGAGCTCTTGACTCCATGGGGCCTCGCTGCAAGTAAAATTCGCGAACTCAAGGTCTCCTCCGCGAGTATCTTGGAGAGAGCCAAGACGCTCACCGCTTCCCGTTGCAGTTCAACCTGGGCACCGGGAGATAGTGCGGTCCTTGCCAATTTCCTCGGTGATTGAGGCTCTTGCCGTGTCTTCTAAAAGGCGACGCACCACCTTGAGTGCCGGATCAAAAATGCAGAACTGTTCCACCTCAGCGACACAAACAACTGGCAAGAGCAAGACGTTGTCGGAGGTCTCTCCTGTTGTGCACCACTTCTTCAAGTCGTTTGCCTGCCAGCGGTTGCCATGGAAGAAGTACGGTGGCACATCATGTGGTAGCGAGTCCCGGGCCAGGTCTTGCCAGCGAAAACGATCTAAGCCGGATATGACCTGACTGTGCTGTGTGCAGAAACACGACTGCTGGCAGAAACGAGCCGCGCGCGTCTCTCAGTAGATTCTTCAACTCCTCTCTAGTCAGAAGCTTGTCCATCTCGCCAACAATCGGCTCTTGCTGGTCCACCTGCACAGAGCACGAGCATGCAAAGCGTGAGCATGAGCAAGCACGTCCGAGTAAGGTAAGGTTGCATCAGCGCGCTACATTCTGACGAGGATTACGGAATTACTACGACTACCATGAGGCATACGCGACAAGGCGACGACGCGAAGGGGAGACGGGGCGACGGCAGTTTCGACTCTGCCTCGGTCTCGTCTGGCTGGATGGCTGTGTCCGCTGTGTCCGCAGCTGATTTCAATTTTGTGATGAAGTCCTCGTCGTTCTCCCTCAGCTTCAAGGCTTCTGGGCAGCTGGGAATCAAAGGAGCCCTGCCTGCCAACAGCTCTCGCAATGGAGGAAGCATCGATGTTGCCAGCAGCATGCATCTTCCTGCACAGTTGCATGGGATGCTGGCAGCTGTAGGCACAAGTAACCATCGAGGAAACGACACTGCGAGGTCTGCTTGCTGTACCTCCACTTGGTACTCTTTTCATATCCAAACAGAGGCGCGCAAACGTCTCCAAGCATGCCCGCCTCTGTCTGAGAAATTTCCTGTCTAGTCGGCACTTTTCCAAACCAAGCTCTGATAATGCTTCGTGTTGAGACTCCAGCATCCATCTGATCGAGCACATCCCTGACCTATCGTGCGACGCGGATTCATGGCAGGCATGGCCAGAGCAGCTCATGGCACCTTGTTTGTCAGCAAGCCATATAACTCGTAGGTCACCACGTATCTCCTGTCGACGCGAGGTTCAACATGAAACACGCAACGATGGTAACAGTCATCGTGGCCTCGGGATCCCAGATCGGACCCCACCTGTCTTCAGCTTCTTGAGCATGTCCTGCAGACACAACACTTTCTTCTACTCGAATTCTGCATTCTGGCCAATTCTACACCAACCTCCGCCACCGCTCCAATGACTGTGCCATTGGCGATCAGCTGTACTGCTTCGCCGATTGTGAGCCTCACCGCACGGTGCTTGGAGAAGCTGATATGGCCTGGTAAACTTGTCCGAGCACCGAGGTCCTTGCTTGGCGTCCTCATCAACGCCCGGATCGCCACGCTCGAAGGATCCCAACTCTTTCTGCAAGTTCTCCAATACCTCACGGATGGGCAAAGCTGCGCGACCAGACAGCTCCCACATGCCAGCCACACCATCGATGCTGTAGTCATGGATCGGGCCATACCTGCACTGCCAAAGTCAAGCAATGCTGGAGCATGGCCACATACTTGGTGCCGCGCTGTATCCCGGGAGAAAACGTGGAGCGTTGTCTTCGGAGCGTGGATCATATAAAAAGTTCTTCTTGGCCTCGTCCGAATTTAACGAGAGGTGCAGACGACATCAACCACAAGAACTCCCGAAAGCAAGGCCACTGGCTGGCAAAAGGCTTGGATCCCCCTGGCAGGAACATCTTATGTCAAGCTACAAGACGAGCTATCCCCGACATATCCGAAACTGTTTGTCTTTGCACAGCTTCCCGCAGGGAAAAGTACCCTGACAAGGCTCAGCGGAGGATGAAGATGCTTAGATACCAGCGGCTTCAGAGCTCGACAGTGTGGTCACTACCCGAGGTGCGTCAGGTCGATACCCTTTGAAATTTCAACCACGTTCACAGCTTTCGTTTGTTGCAGGCTTTGACAAGGGACGCTGACGTGTGTACCGTACGACGGATTCTTTCGTCTGCTGCTTTGCTTGTGGGCCAAACCGCTATATCCTGACGAAAACTTGATTCACAACAACAGTCCGAAGCTCAGGCTGCAGGGCTGCAGCATGCGTTACTTTTCTATGCTGTGACCTCCACCCTCGAATTACAAGACATCATGTACGAGATTTATTGCATGGCCACTTCTGCATTTGTCCAGCTATCTCAGCACGATGGTGCCGAGCATGAGTAGCGGCTGCGTGCCTCTCTTTTCCACTTCTGCAGAACCACCTCTGAAAACCTGAACACATCTACAACCAATCCGTCGTCAGCGGCTTTGGGACAGATTCGAAACGACTGGGAATGGCGCTTGATGAGCGTCTCATCCTCGTCATCCGAATCGCAACACGATGTGAATGGACTGGACAATCCCTGCACTCCTTGAGTCCTTGCAGGTGCACATGGAACCAATCACTAAAAGAAGTCTTTGGAGTCTGCGGTCAAGGCGTGTCAACAGAATCTTGAAGCTCACCGATGGATGTGCAGCCTCACCGGGCTACACCAGTTATTTACTAGGACCTCTGTGGACTGCGCTGAAACTCAGCATCAAGCTGCCGTGCCAGCGAGATGTGAAATGCGTAGATGCCAGGGACGGACCTCCTGCAGACGGTTCCGCATATTAGCCGGCTAATTATGGGATCTGAGGCTGGTGAGGGCCTGTCCGCAGAGCTTTGCCGGTGAAGCCCAAGCTGCTACTGGATGTGACAGAAGCGACACATGTTCGGGATCGGCGTGCCTGGCGTGAGACACAATGCCACAGGAAGTTAGTTGCCTAAACATGACACCTCAGCTTTCGCTTGCAGCAAACACTCCGAGGGTATGGATGATGCTTCTTGTGCCAGCGAACCTGCCCAAACCGGTAAAGCGGCAACTCACTGACACAGGAAGAGGGGATGCCTGGCAATCCATAGTTCACTGGTCGCCAGTCTGACTCATCCCACACTCCAAAGGGCATCCTCAACAACAGCTCCGGGAAATCAAAGCATTTCAACATCATTTCGACGAGCTTGCCTCGACTATCTGACATCCCGGCGCATCTAGTCCAACCGCAAGCCAGCCATGTAGACATATGCTACAAAGATGTGAGTTGCACGAAAAGCCATTTCATGCCCAAGCTTAGGCTTACTCTTTCATACCAAGAAAGCTGGTGAGAAGACCACTCGTTTTGTCAGCTGAATTAACACATCAAACCCAACATTGTCATCCGCATAAACATGTCGTCATGTAAGCGGTGCTGAGCCATGCAACCGCCGATACAACTGCTCCACTGAACATATTCAGACTCCATCGTGCATGCCTGCAGGTCACATGCGTTGCCGCTACATGAGGATACATGCCATTGGCACCTGCCTCCAACTTCGAGATCAATGTGACAATTCGACCCAAGGTTTTGAACACCACGTCCCGTCATCAGTTCAGCACAGCCAAGTCGACAATAGTTCTCCAAGCAGGCCTGCAACAAGAACCTGTTGAACTTTAAATTTAACAGACGTGCATTAAGGAACGTCTGGTTGGGAAACAAGATCGACATGTGGTTGTCTGAGATTTGAATCTCTTGAATAATGTTGGAGGAAACCTTCGATGAACACCGCATTTCGTTCCGTATGGTTTTCCAGGTGGGGAAAGCGCTCAAAAAGCAGCATCACACGGACCCAACTTTGAGTCCAAAAAACTACAAAACAAGCAGGACGCGTCAGATGTTCCACAACAACTTCAATCTGACCACCCAAGCACGACAAGAGAAACTATGAGCATGCATTGATTCGGACCAAACCGATCACATCTAGTTGCTAGAATGGAAAACACACTGAAATTCACTGAAGGACCGATCGAAAACGGACCATCAGATCAGTTCGAACTCCGACTTCACGCGACCGCAAAAAAAAAGAATCAAATCCACGTGCACAGTTGCTTCATGGGGCATTCTGGCAGACTTCGCTCCACGGTTCAACTATCCAATGCGAATGGTAGAACGGCTGCCTCGGCAAAGCCGATCCAAGATTCGTAGCTTAGAAGCATTTGACACACCACATTTTTGATGCCATGGTCAACTTCATGGTAGACATGTAAAAAAGAAAGCCTACTTGCAGTTCTTTGCATGCTGTCCTGCTCATGCATTCAGTGCGTGCGTGCACTCTGCTTTTTTCGTCTGCTTAGTCTTTTAACTCAAATTTAAATTTTGACGATAACACTAATTTTGATCAGGTGCTAGTCGGGGGCAAACATCATTGGAACTCAATGATTTCGTGGGTATATCCTTGTTTTTGACCCTGTTCTTTTTGTTAATTTTCGCTTTGTATGGGTTGGAAGTTGAAGGTTTACGGTTTATGTTTAGGTGGCTTCAAAGGGGGAGTTTGCAATTTACCAAATTTTTTTGCAAAACGGCTTTCGTAGAAAAAGACAATGCGAAAACAAGTGACAAGTGCACTGTGATATGATTGTTCGACGGAACAGAACGGCGGCCGAAGCTTTGACTTGGCTCCATCGATGGTCTTGGACAGCTCTGGGCGACGGCCCACGGTTGTTGTGGATCGATCGCTGGGGCATCGTAGCTTGTGCTGAACGGCCAACACCGGCAAAGTCTGTGCGCCGCAGCTAGTTGTCGACCTCTGTTAATTAACCTTCTCCCTGTGGTGTGCACTGGTCTGCATGGACGCTGTGTTGGAGCAAACTGTGTTTTGGACGCTCATCGCAGTCGTGCGTATCGCTTCCAACCTCTTGGCTGATGCCCCGGAATGGTTACGCCCGCTCATAGTCGTACGGAGGGTCTCTGGCGATGCTGAAATGATCGACACGTGCTTCGACCATGTGCCCTTCACCGAAGCAGCTGAGCACAAGGCGGCAGGGCTTGGGGACATCGCCACGATCCAGCCGGGGGTGAAGGGGCACAGTGCGTGTCATGCTTCCCCTTCGGTCAGTAGCGCCCACATGCTACTGCTCACACAGGGGTCAGCCGCGCTTCAGCTCCGCTATGCCTCCTACAGTGAAGTGAAGAATCTCCTCAACAATGCGCACGTCATTGTGATCGACGAGGGGCAACACAAAGGGCAGCCTTCCTCAGCTGCCATTCTGGCCAATGCAGAGTGCCAGCTTGTCATTCGCACAGGTGACCCCCGACAGCCCGCTGGAGGTGGCAAAGGTGAGGTGCAACTGCGCACGCTGGCCCGCCTCATCGCCAAGCCTGTTGGCATCCGTGGAATTGCTCAGCTTGCTCCTCAACCCGTTTCCCCGGGGCGGCTAGCCGATGCACTGCGTGGCTTGGTACACTCTACCTCCCCGGATGGGCCGCTGCACACAGTTCAGTGGTCTAGCCTTGGACACCGCCACAATGGCCATCAGGGCACTGAGCCACCCCCGGGCACCAGCCTCACAATATGCCGGGAGTTGTCGGAGTGTCTTTTTGGAGTTGAAGGTGAAGTAGAGGTTGGCCTCGACTCGGACCTTCGGGACCTCCGCGGCTGCCGGGTTACCCGACAAGGGCTTACCTACTTCATCTTATTCCGGTATCACGAGGGTGGGAGATCGGGTGTGCCCACACCCCGGTCGCCTCACGCCGGCTGCTCTTGCGGTGGATTTCCTCCACCAATCTGCGTCCCATAGCGAAGCGATCCTATGCTACCTCAGCCGTCTGTCGGCAGTCGGCGCAATACTTGCGCCGGCCAATACAGCTATGCAAGCTGAAGGCCTGGCCCCTATCAACGGGGTTAGCTTGAACTTAGCCCTGGTCGCATCCACTCGATTGCTCGCCGATCTGTACCTGCTTATCACCGCTTTTTGGCTTGACTGGGCCTCGTCGACTACGGCTGTAGCACTCGGTCCCTACAAACAAGCGAAACTAAAATCCAAGCATCAAACTACAACAAAGCGGTGAAACAGCAAAGCGAAGCTCTACAAAGGGCTGCGGCGCACAGGCTTTGCCGGTGTTAGCCGTTCAGCACAAACTACGGAGCCTCAGCTACCGGTCAGGAGCAACAAAGAGCCGTCGCTCAGAGCTGCCCAAAACAACAGGTGGAGCCAAGTCCAGGCTCCGGTTGCCGTTCTAGTCTCGCCAGACAACGGACAGCCCCTGTGTTTTGTTCCGTCACGATCGTGCACACCAAAATCCAAAAGTCCATGGCCCACTGCAGCGTGGGCGGCTTCCGAATAAGGAGTGCGAAGACCAGTGCCGCAGGCAAGCAACCCGCTCATGCAACCGCCGTCATCGACCCTAGGCGTGCCAAGCGCCTAGACGGCGCTCTGATGCAACAATGGCAACCAGTGTGGGCCACACCCACACGGGCAACCTGCCGGAGTCCTACCAGTGACAAAGTTGCTCGACCACGACACTCTAGCGCGCATGGCCGCCGCCGCCAGCAGAATCAAAACAATGTCCCTAGCCGTGAGCTGGAACACTGGGTCAGCCGCTAAGACAGGCAGAGATCGCCAAGGCGGACATTGACGTGCCGGCCACACGCTTCCACAGCATCGTCAAACCGTTGTGGCGGCCATGGCAGCAATTGAAGACATTATTCGGAGGTGGGAAATAACACGGTGGACAGGTGAAGGGGCGAGCGACGTATGTCGCAGGCAGGCGGCGAAGCAAAGGAACACACCGCACGCATGTGGCTGAAGGCGCGTGAGTGCAAACCGGCAGAGCAGGACGTTGCGGTGCGGTACTGCCCGCAGTGCGGAACGGGGCGTCATCCAAGCCCCAGTGATGAGTGCAACCACAGGCAAGCCCACAGCCTAGCCGTGCCTTTCCCGGCGCCCTCAGGGAGAAGGCCTAGTAGCGACCCACACGAGCAGCGTCGTGCAGGGGGTGGCGTTCTCCGCTCGCTCGTGGACCATCAGAACGGAACTGCACCCACGCCCAGCGGATCCGCCCCTCCAAAAGGACACAGTTGACCCCACGTAGTGCAGCCAGGACCTAGGCGAACGTGACAACGACGGTTCGATGTCCGCCGAGGAGATCAATCCAACGGCCTGGACCACGTAAGCCGTGGCCCAAACTACGAAGCCTCAGTAGCCCCTATGTATCGTCCCGTCTCGAAAATGCAGGTCCGAGCTCAAGGTGATGGTGCATCAACATAGTATCGAGGGCATGAGTGACATGGAGAGTGAAATAGACTCAACGACGTATGTCGTCGGTCGCAACGGCTTCCACAGGGGGACAGCGATCACAGACAGTGATGAACCGCCTGATCCCGTTTGTTCCGTCACAACCAGGGCACCCAGAGCCAGAATTCCAAAGCCCACTGGCAAGCGTGGCCGGCTTCCAAACAGCGGGTGCATCGACATGGTGGCGAGGGCCTGCCTGCCCACGTCGTTTGAGCCCGACCTCGGCTAAGCACGCTGAAGCCGAGTAAAACCCAATTGTCGCTTGCTCGAGAGAGAGAAAAAGACGCAACGACGTATGTCGTCGGTCACAATAGCGGCTGATGGAGACTGACTGTCAACCAGAAGAGCCAGCCGCCGCTTAGCGCGGCCAGCTGTCGAGTAGGCGCTGCATGTCACGACCGCTCGAAGGGAAATGACTCTCCCTTAAGAGATAGAGCAGCTGGTAATTTCCCTCACGATAGATTTCCGTCACCCTTCGGAATGAGTATTGGTGAGTATCCTGGTCGGGGGCATGCAGATGTGGCATTAGATCGGTGGATATACATGGAAATTGGAGGCCAGGTCCAAGGCCCCTTCCCTGCGGAACTCATCTGCCGCTGCCCTCCAGCTTTCGTGCGCCCAGGGATGCCCCAACCTGACCCAGGGACGCTCGCCACCCGGCAGCTCCTGCGCCTGATTCTCTTCCCGGGCGACCAACCGGTGAAGGAGGACCATCGCTTTCGAGTCAAATGCGTCGAAATGCGCGAAGCGCCATAAGCGGGCTGGAAAGTAAAAGTCTTTCTTTTGTGGTCCACGTATCCAATAAGCCACTACCGCCCGGAGATCCCATCCATCAGAGGTAGCAGCAGCACGAAGGCGCCACAGTGCACTATTCAACAGGCCCGCGGCCTGAATCGAAAGAGAGGGCTGCGCTTGCAGACCCAGTGGGAT